AAAAAAAAAACAATTCGCAAGACAAAACCATGAAGGCAGTTGACTTAACTGTGCAAATTATGGAGACAACGGCAGGAAACGGACGTCGACCTATGCCACCATTGGGGAATTAGGAATTATCCAACAATTTGGGCAATAATTCATCAATACTACAATTTGACGATGAACCACGACGGCGCAAAAATCAGACAACATGCCAAATGCAGTGACTCAATAGACAAGGGACACGGCCGGTCGATCATAAAAGTGTGGTAAGGTGGGCGATAGTAGGGCACCGTATCTGATGACGGGAAAAAAGTTCTTGACGGTTCTGCTTGCAACCAATTACAGACGTGTCTGGTTTCCGGGGGGTGGTCATAGACCTCTTCAGCCAAGCCTGACCAACCCAATTCTTTCGGCAATGAACGCAAGGAGGAGAAACGCTTCCCCATAGCTATGGTTATAAAACATTGAGTACTGTGTTAAACGCGATTGCTAGCTGCTTCAGAGTACCTCCGCCTTAGTGGTGCGAGCCGTCTTTTGAGAAGACGGGGTCAGGAGGTGGATAACAACTAATAAGGCTGGCACTTTAAGGGGATCTTCAGGAATTCGATCCGTAGAATGAGATGGTCAAGGCTAGAAATTAAGAGCGAATTATTGCCAACTTTTAAACCGAGTGTTCAAAATTAAGTTGTGAAAATTAGCACTTAAAGACCCAGAAAACAATTTGTTCACGCCTTTTTTCTGTCGATATATTTTCGTCAGGCCAACCAATACATTAGTGAAGTATGTGTGGAGAGTGCTTCGAAAGTATGGTTCAAAACGTATGTAAACGAAAAGATAGCACTTTTACAGCTTAAGGCGTAGGGCAGGATGTAAGCCACAGTTCGGCTGAATGTCAGCAACCATTTCTAGTTGTTGGTGATGAACATTTTGATATTTGTAAATAACGCTTCCTGACTAGCGACTTACTTCCGCAAATAAATAAAAATTCTAGGTCGAGCTCATCGCCTTTGCGACAGAGAATCCTACCGATATAGACTGATGTAGTGCTTTCCCACAAAAGAGAAACAGCTACAGCAGCCGAAAATAAAAATGGTCCAAAATATCGATTGTCTAGAGAACGTAGACCAGTCCGAAGATAAACGCTAAGGTATCTGGGGCACTCACGCATATATTTATGCATTCGATTGACCCAATTGTGAAAAGCTCGTGACCACGGTGGGAGTTGAACCCACACAACAGGGAAGGCTTTTGCGCAGCCAACGCTCTACCACCAAGCTACGAGGCCCAACGTGCGCCGTGAATTTAATCATACTTGGGTCGATTTGCTTCCTCAGCTTTACTACACGTATGGAATCCACCAATACAGATGCAGTAAGCTGACTACCAGGCAGGATTTACATACAAACAAAAATGAGCACGTGCGAACGCGTGAAGAAGTAATTGGACAGCAAAGTACATAGGAAGAAAAAGTTCACGCCGCTTAGGGGGTGGTCCTAGCACTTTTGGTGTTCTATGAAAACTCAGATTCTGCACGTCCACGACGTCCCACAACTGCGGCAACACTGCCAAAGGTGTCTTTGTGTTTAAGTCTGGAAAGAAGGATTAAGAATTGCTTATGGTTTAAGACAATACAGACCGATTTTTAACAGAAGGATTCTCCTATGATCTCTACAACGCAAGTGATGCTTATGATAACAGCCCTGGGGCTGGTGACATTCACTTGATATGTCTAGTCCCAGTCAAGGTTGGAAAAGTAATGTGAGCAACACAGAATGACTCACGTGGAATTCAGCTGATCAGCTTTAAAGGCAGGTCATGTGAACAATAAAGTAAAAAGCTCGGAAACTGCAACGTCTATGACAAGTAGGCGGTGGATTTATTAATAATCAGGCGCTATTTACCCCTCAGGAACTATCTGTGCAGTCGCGAGCAAATGACGACACAGAAAGGATCTGAGGATAGTGACAAGCCCGAAGGACTTTAGCGTGAGAGAAGATAACTTAGTGTGGATGGCAACTGCGGTAGCTGTATGAGACCAGCTAGGCAAGTGAAGGTTACGACTGGTTAAAACAAAAATCCAAAGCTACTTACCATGGGTCCGGTGTATTCTACCGTCCCTTTTGGTGGAATAGGAAGGACAGGTTCAAGGCCAATATTTTTGCCGTCAGATAACAAATGTTCTGCGAAATAGCCGCTCACGGTCTGCCGAACGCGGCCTACGGAAAGTAGTGGTTGGTCTTGTTGTGCATGTGTAGCATCTTCGTTGGAAGGAGGAGGCGGAGGAGATTCTGAATTGTCGCCACCACCACTTGCCGCTGGAAATGAGATGGCCGCGGTGTCGTTGGGTGCCGATGCGTCGCCTTCAACAAGACAAAACAGGGTTAAGTGTCGAATAGGCGATAATACCGCTGACAGACGCCAGAGAATAGACAAGGTTAGACTAGGTGAACGCTTCGCGGTGGTGGCAGCGGAGGCATCAA